GCCTGCTCCGATTTCACCTGCCTGTTCAAGAACAGCCTGCTTTGTCCTTTACAACCCTCACCTCTCCCTCCTTTGTATCTCCCCTGTAATGCAGGTACTCCCACTCTCAGCGAGACAAGGAGCAAAACCACCCCACACAAAGATTAAGTCCCATCCTACCGCTCTTGGAAGACACTCTAGCTTAAGAGCCTCCTTGCTCTGGTCTCTTGCAGGTACAGTTACATGGTTAGAAAATGTAGAGTTAATAGAAATGACAGTAGCAGGAGTAGAAATCACTGCACTTTTTTTTTCCTCCAGGGCCCTGTCTACACTTGACTTTAAACTATTTTAATGGATGTGAGTACAGCTGTACCTGAATTAATTTACAAACTTTTTTTTTGCTGTGCAAACTAGATTTTAGCAATGTTTTGCTATCAGGAACAAGGTTGAGTTGTCATTATAGTGATGTCTTTTTTTTTTTTTTTTTTTTTTAATGTCAGCGTATCTTAGATTAGAGCAATTAGCGATAGAGTTCCACCCATCTAGTCTCCAGCTCGGGCACGCCACTGGCAATGAAAAACTAATTTGGAGAAACATTTGGTGCCTGAGAAAGTTTCAAAAGTGGCCTAAGACAATGACAACTCTTCTGTTTGTTATACAGCATGTCTAGAAAAAGCACTCTCTTTTGGGGAAGGCACTCCTCCACAGTGTAGCTGTTATTATGTGAATTACTGTTTGTTGAAGACTGCAGAATAATTAGTGATGTACAAGACACAAACACAGCAACCTGCCTTAAGAGAAAGCGAGGCCCAGAAATGCATTTCCCCTTTTATCATTTAACCCAGCCAACAGGACTCCTGCTGCGGTGTCTCAGCTTATACACTTTAAAGGTCTACGGTTATGAAACCTCTAATATAAGTCTTTTATTACTGTTTACATTTCTGGCTCCCATCGTCCCAGAAGAAGCCAAGGGCAGAAGGGAGGGAAGAGTGTGTTACAGCAAAAAATCAGAAACTTAAAGCAATTTCTCTACTGAATACTGGCAATACGTCGAATCTATGCCTGGGTGATGGGTCTTTACCAAATCCTGTTTTAAAGGGGTTCATCCCTCCAGACTGTAACAAAGAGTTAAATGACTTGTCTCTTAAATGACTAACGTGAATCCCATCGTTCCTCGTATACACAGAAAGTGTGGTTTTATAGTTTCTCCTGCCAGCCGTTACCTTATAAATCCTATACAAAGGTAAGACCTTTGTTTTACTTCAATACAAATGTCTCCAGCAAATGTTTACACTACTCTTTTGAAGCTTCCTCAACCCACACCACACCCTGGCAACTACATAAAAATGCTATTTGCCTTGAATCCCAGAAGCATACTTACCAAACCATTTGTATACACTAAAATTTCAACATTATTTGTTACCACAAGTTAACTCTTATTTAATATTTACACATGTGTTTGCATGCATGACATATATATTAAAAAATACATATGCATGCGTACACACACAGACATGGTTTATTAAACCAGTTGCCAAGTCTAATACTACATAACTTCTGGTACTAATTCCCCCATACAAAGTATCTTCCTTCAAATTTTGAGAGTGGAGAAAATACTAATTTCGTCCCTAATGAAACAAAATTTGATCTAAAGTTAGGAAGGAAATTAATAATTAAGAACAAAATAATTCTTATCCTAGTCAAAGCTTGTTCTAAGTATTGCTAGCAATGTTAAAGAAATATGGATTGTCACAATACAAATCACTGACAGACTGTGCTGCTCTATCAGCTTGATTTCACAGTTGTGCCCACTGGAATCATAGCTCACTTCAGCCCACAACATCTAAGAACCTAATCCTGCAAATCACTCACTCATTGAAAGCACAGCTTATTACTGTATGGGCTATGCCAAAACTCATTAAATAACTGGAAAGGTTCCCAGAGGCTTCAGCATGCTTTGGATTAAAGATCTACATTTCAGTTAAATATAGCAGGACAATGATTGCACGCAAATATACACAACAACTGCACAGCACACAACTACTGTACACACAGAAAAGTATGTGCCAGCACCTGCCCGAATAACACATCCGCCAACATGTCTGTTTACCGCATGTCCACGTTGCAGCACTTTGCAGAAATCAGTATTTTCTTGGTATCACTGAAAAGTATTTTTTGTCTGTTTTAAGATGACATTATTCCTTAGCGACTCTTCACTGAAGTCACCCCTTTGAATTCAAGGTTAAAAAGTGCTTTCCATAAAAATATACAATATATTGTTTCAGAATAACATAATTCTAACCAATAAAAATTAGCTAAGTATTAATCAGAGAGAAGACATATCTCAGAGTTAGTGTGATTTATGACAAAGATATTTGATTTATGACAAAGACATTCTCCTTTGACTAGGAGAGTTCTGGTTCTTAATAATCTTTCTTGCAAACTAACTTCTGCCAGCAATCAGACTGCAAGCAGGCAGATGTGGGTCTACCAAAAATGAAGCTGAGCTCTGTGTTCAAAAGCCTCCACTAGAACTTTGTGAACCAGTCAGATGCTGCAGCAAAATCTTCCATAGGGCAACAGCAAAGCAAATAACTACCTTCTAGCATACTGTAAAAAGACTTTTAAAAGATGGTTAAAGAGTCAACCAGTTCTTGTTAATTGGTGTTTGTTTCCTCCCCTTTTTTTAAAGAACTCCTTTAAAAATACCAAACATAGCATTCAGGTTCAACCAAAGGGAGCCAACAAATCACCTTGCCCATAACTGTTAGATATTGATATACAGAAGTAAATACCGGAGTGAAACAAAGATGGACTGTACAAACAGTGCTCTTCACTTCTTGCCTCTGCTTTCTTCTTGCGTGGCATTTTTGCCTCAAGGCAGCATAAGGAAGAGTTCGACATGGCTGTAGACCCCTCCCCTCATTTCCCTGCATCCCACTCCGAACCACAAGCCCCACAGTGACCTCTAGCCAATGGCCCCAGCAGAAAAGGACGTTGTTCTAGAAAAATATAGGGATGTGCCGGGCCCCAGCTCTGCTCTGCCACAAGGCAAGGGGACTGACTGCTGCTGTCGACCAGGTACAGCAGCGGAAACACTAGTGGAGCGGCATTTCTGACTTTGGTGCTGTTCCCTTAGTCCACAGAAAGCAACAGTGGGATTATTCCACAGCTGAACACCTGCTTTACAAGATTGCCTCTTACATCGAATTGTTTTGCTAGGCAGCAGCTGGAAGATGAGGCACCAAGCATGAGGAGCTGGAGCCAACACCCCAGCTCCCTTCACGTTACTGAGGCGACAGAGAGGCCTCTGCCTGTGCTCTGAACGCCTGCTTCTTCCCAGCAAGATCCAGCTGAGGTGCTGCCATACAAACCCTCAGCAGACCCACTGGTAACGGGCAGACTATGGCTGTCACACCCATGCTGCTATACCCTCAGCCCGAAGGGCCTCCAGAAGGAGGGTGCTGCTCCGCTTGAGTGTGGGAGCAGAAATCTGGCTTTAAACCAGCTGTGTTCCAGGTGCAGAAGTGAGAAATCTGACACTCCAGATTAAGTCTTCCTAGATGCAGGTTCAGGCTCCCAGGAGAGACAGGGATATTTGGTTAGGTGATTTCTGCTGCTTCTGTTTGGTTTTTTTCAAGACTGCTCCCCTGCGTGCTTCTAGCGACGGGTTTGTTTTCTGTACTTCTTCCCAGGCCAGTAGAGTGCTTCACCGCATCTCATCTCGGAGGCCCGGGAAAGAACTGCTCTGTGCCGCTTTTGTCTGACTCAGAAGAGAAAGGTCTTTGTGCCTGTGAGGTTAAGTTTTAATCTTGAAATTGTGGTGAAAAGGGAAAACAACACTGAGCAGAAACAATACAGCCAGTTTAAAGATCACCATTCAAAAAAGCTTAAGAAAAGACAGTCTGTAATTAGGCCTTGAAATTCTTCATCTCTCTTCGATGAGGTAATTGCTGGAGAAATAACAGCCTTCAGTGACGTGTCTCAGAGTCCACACAGCTTTCAGACACCACAGGGGCATCCTATGGGAATCCCCAGACGCAGCGCAACTGGTTATTGTATTTAAGACTCCGACAAGAACAAGCATGTGGGTACGTGTACACTTATGCAGGGAGGGAAACACTTTAGTGCATGGTGATAAGCTTACAAGTACAACCTGATTTATGCTTGACAGCCCAGTACCAAAGCACATTATGAATCCTCTTACTTTTATCAATACATTTGCAGTTCAAGCTCCTGAAAGATCAGATACTTGATAACTACTTCCCAAAACAAATACACATAAGTTAATTTGCATTTTAATGCCTACTTTCTGCAGAAATACCAGTGGCTTTCTTAAACTTCACTCATGACACTTTTAATCCAGCAAAAAATAAGAGAGTCGTTATTTTAAAATCTTACTACGGTGTATTTCCAGTGCTCATTGCGAAAGCTGTGTTCTCAATGTTCTGGCACCCAAGGCAGGAGCAATGTGAAAGGTGTGAGACTAGAACAAAATGGCCAAGGATAACACCTGACATTAGTGGATGTGACCTTCTTGCTCCTAGATCAACATGCTGTCTTGTTAAGTCTGGCTTGCAGCTGCAAATGCAAGTGTGTTAAAGAACTGCCAGCCCTGGCAGCAGGGATGGTAGTAGCCGGTGGGACGAGACTGCCATGGTCAGCCCCAGTAATGCTTCCGTGTAAAGCTCCTTGGGAAAATCTGTCGAGTTGGAGATCCCAAACCTGTGTTTGCTCTATTTGCTTGCATAGTGATCACATGCACACAATGCTCTTCTGTTGTGACTGCAGAGGACAACATACCACTGTGTTTTGAAATGGAATCACATAATAGGGAAATATCTGGGGTGGTAAGAATGTAATCTTTACAAAAGTAAATATAGCACCACTAGTAACTGGGACAAGTACAACTCTGTTTACCAAGGCCAGCTTTTGAAACAGCTAGGCAGTTTTCAGAACTACTGTCTTTTCTTTAGTGCTCTGTTCTTTTAAAATGTGCACCAGAGATGAAAATCCCTGTTACTACAAATCTCAGCACCTTCGGTCAGCAAGTCAGGACAGGGAGTGTTAATGCTACCACTCCATGCTCTATATGATCTCTCTAACACTCTGTTAGAGATGCAGTGGGGAATCCTGCGTGAAGATGTCTCCATATTTGAAAGGTCCTTAACATTACTTGGATATTGGGCATTTTGTATTCAACATGAAAACAGTATCAAGGAGATTGCTAAACTCAGTCGTGTTTGCTGTTTATTATTTCTACAGCCCTGAGACTCCCGCTCTACCCCCGTGCATTTTACCCAGCCTATTTCCCTTGTTGTTTGCTTTCCGGGGGCCAACAACTTCTTATAATTACCAGCAGCTTTTCATTTCTCCTACACTATTCCATGCAGCTGAAACACTCTGCCACCATTCGGATAACTTTATCTGTAAGAAACTTGTTAAGGCGCTCTGCTGTTCTTGTTCATAGGTCCACTGTAGCAGGCACATCCCCAAATGCAAAACCCCATGTCTCAGGGTATTTGACCATTAAAAAAAAAAAAAAAAGAAAGAAAGAATGCACCAGACCTCAAAAACAGCCTTCAAAATTACATTTTACGGACTTTCCAATTGTAAGGACAGTCTGTGTAATATTATAAAAAATAATGGCACAAACACAAGGGAAGGCATAGTCTGTCTTACAGAGTACTGATTATTGGAGATGTTTATAGTATAGAAAAAAGTTGATAAGTTAGAGAAATACAACATTCACCTTGTTTTCTACACTGCCTTTTCAAGTGGGAAAAAATGTTTATTGTTTCTCAGGCTGGTCATATTTTAAATGGAAAAATCACTGAGAGGCCACAAACAAGAAACTACGTTGCGAGAGCCCTGCAGGTTTTCATCAGAACTACACCGCCATTTGTCAGTGCTACTGGTGTGAATGCAGTACCATCCCGCCAGCCGTTACATACCGTCTCGCCTTTTACAGATGGCCAGAATCCCCACGGTCAGTGAAAGACCACAGTTTGCCTGGCTTTGCAGAGACTGAGCTCCCTCACCTCCACCCACCCTTCTTATTATTTGTTAAAAAGGAAAGAAGTAGAACAGTGACTAAGGATGGACCGTACTTATAAAGAGATACCAACTGCATGGCTTTTCCTCACCTTTGCCTCCTCATTGACATCCCAAGTAAAGGACACAGCATTGAATGCGATTTCTTCAATATTCCCAATGGTATTAAAACTCTCCTTGTAGTCAGCTGTAAAAAATAACAAACAAAAGACTCACGAAAAAGGTTTTAACTTTCTCTTTTACAATTCATGGTATATCCTTGCTTTTCCAGCTGGATTGTCTAACACATCAAAACTATCTCTTGTATTATTTATGTTGAATTATTAATAGGCTTAATTGCAAAAAGGTAATATACTGCAGCTTGAGCCTTATGCATAGTATACCACTAGCTAGTGTTCTTGAAAAA